AGGCTAATTGATACAAACGGGATAAGTTCCTATAGCATTACTTCTGGTCACAAAAACATCACCAAACATCTAAATAAAGACCCAAAACACTTCTAATATTGAACATTGAAATAAATGTGAGCTATACTTATGTTAAAAAAGGTTAATAAAGTAGATAATTATTTTCCAACCCACTTATTCCAGTTTAGGGTCATGGGTAGCTTCAGCCTATCCCAGGAGCTCAGAGCAGGGCTCAAGGTCGTGTCCTTGGACAGGACACTATTCCACTGCAGGGAGCACATGTGTGCGCACACATGCACATCCATACACCCACACATACTCCTCTCTCTCTCTCTCTCTCTCTCTCTCTCACACACACACACACACACACATACACAAACACACTGGGACAATTTAGACACGTCAATTAACCTAACATGCACATCTTTGGGATGTGGGAGAAAAACAGAGTACTAGGAGAAAACCCACAAGACATGGGAGAATGTGCAAACTCCACACTGATATTGGTCCTGGCCAAGAATCAATTTTTTTTGTCATCAACATTATAAGAGAAGTTATTTGAGGACCCCACTGTAATCACATTCAGGCCTTAGAAAGTCTCTGACTGCAATGTGAAGGAAAGAATTCAAGGGCAGAGGTCTCTACACTTTAGATATTTCTGCTTGGCTGAAATTAGGATGATGTTACTCCTAGGTAGTTTGATTTTGAGCCCAATTTTAGTTAGCATGCAAAGTACTTTTAATTCTCCCAGAAAAAAAATTCCTTAGGAATAAACAATTCCAAGGTAGCAACATTACAATGGAGTCAAAAGATAAAGACATGTGTATAGAGAAGAAAGTGTGCAAGTTTCGGGGAGATATATTATATTCAAGAGTAAAAACTGTAAAATAATAAAAACACAGAAGAATTTTTAAAACCCCATAGCAAAACTATTTTGGATTCAATTATTCCCATAACCACTTACTTCCTATCATCTTAGACAACACAAATAGTTGTAGAAGCCAGGTTGAAAAATTTTCAAAACAGGATGGAAAACAGTACAGAAATACTTAAAGTCCTAGTTAAAAATTCTACAATATTAATGTTGTAAGATGGTATTCTGGTTGTTTAGAAAGTCTGCTATTATTGCCAACATTCTCTTCAGTTGAAAGTACAAGCTAAGAAAATAAAACTCCAACCAAACTGGAAGAAACATTAAGGTCTATCTCTTAGTACTTCCACATACCATATAAAATCTGTTCTTTTTGAAAGATGTACAGACTATTGTTGGGTCAGCTTGAATATTCTGAAGAACAGGGTTTTCAGATGCTTTCATTTCTATAGTAGTTGCAGCACGATGTTTTTTGGCTATTCCCTGGAACAAAGCCAATTGCATCACTCTAATATTTTCTTGCTTGCCTAAGATCCGCACACACCTGGAAAATATGTTTTATATAATAAAATCATCAGAATTAACTCCAATTATAACATTTATAACAACTTTACAGGTAAAGGCTGGGAATAGTTATCTTTTATCTTTGTACAAAATAACTAGTGAAAGGTCTTTAAAAAGTATTTCTCTATAACCCCCCCCCCCAAAAAAAAGTTATTTGAAATTGGTAGGCAGCTATAATTTTTAGGTTAAAAAAATACAATTGTTCAGTCATACAGTTTTAACCTATCCCTATTATTTTAACCTATCTGCAAACCTTCAAAGATTTTATATTGCCAAGAACTACAATAGAAATTTGTTTATATATGAGAATGTACAGCACAAGATTTTTTCTCCTTAAAATATACTTTAAGTTCTTTTTATTTACATTCAACGATAGTAACTGATTGTAGCTATTCTGTACTAAGACCAAATGGACTGTTTGTACAAAAGGCTTATTGTGGTTTCATGCATTTTAACTTCTGATTTTATGTCTAGCAGGATGTAATGCTGAATTCTGTGGTTAAAATATTTGGCAACATTTAACATGAACCAGGCTAATTTAAATCAATAAGCAAAAGACAGACTATAACTTGTTAAAAAAAAAAAAACTTGAAACTATGCATATCTTCTTTCCATTTCTTTTACAAACATGAGTGGAAACTTTTTACATAAGATTATAAACAACCAAAAGACCACAGAAAAATCCAGTCAAAACATTTGGTTAAGTTTAGACATTTGGGACCATTCCACTTGTCTTGGAACAAACAAAACTCCCATTGTTTCTCCGAAGGAGGAAATGGTCCCCATAAATGCATTTTTAAAAAACATACATCATATTAAAGCTTACCGGTTTGTTTCTACATTTATAACTTTAATGCCCAGCATTGTTCCATACAGCACAAAGTGTCCAGTTTCATCAAAAACTATATTAATTAATCTCACTGCTTCCACCTTCTCCAACTCACGTTCTACAGCCATTCGTCGGCCAAACTCCATGTCTGGGAGCTGCTGCCTCATCTGCTGTAGTTCAGTAAACATCTAGGAAACAAACCATTTATTACCAAAAAAGCTACATAATAAAGGGAATGAGAATTTAAACAGAAGCAGAGTATACATGAAGAGCCACTGACAATCTGTGTACTTATATCTTTTTAAGGAGGACTCTAAACACTATAAGCAGGAAATAAAAAGACACCAGTAAGTTCAATCATAAACAATATTTACACTAATTGGTTTTTCTAATTAAACAAAATCAGTTAGTTGGTATAATTACTACTTTCCCTATAGAAACAACAATATATCTGCTGCCTTTTATAAGCTACAGACTACACTTTCTGATAGAAGTATAATGTAAACCACACATGTAATTTAAAATTTTCAAGTAGTCACATTAAGCAAAATAAAAAAAACAGGTAAAATTAATGTTTTATTCAACCTAATAAATCCAAAATATTTAGCAATTTAATAAAATTGAGATAAACAACACCTTTTTCTTATTTAAATCTTTGAAATCTTGTATTTTATACTTTCAGCTGATTTCAATTTGGAGTAGCCACATACCAAGTACTTAAGAGCCACATATGGCTAGCGGCCACTATATTGGACAATAGCTATAGACTATGAGGTCCTCATTTGAGGATCATGGGGCCTGACATGTAACAAGCACTCAATTTTTGTTGAATGAATAAACTCTTATTATTTCACTAATGTATAACCATTTCATGGTATTTCAGAAAATTTCAAGTTATTTTGACATTGGGCACAACTACAGTTAGAATATCATTAGGTAACTAGGACGTAGGATAGATGAATATTTTTGTGGGTGACCTTTAGTATGAAAATTTAGTTAACTTTTCTTTAGAATAGTTAATACACAATTTTCAAAACAGGGATCACATCTTAATTACTATGTACTATTACACTACAAGCTTCTCCAAAGATATGCTCTTTACATTCAATTTTCCAGACATTTAGGGCATCAAAGAGCCGGATTCAGAAGTAGCTCTCCAACGCAGATTAAAATAGGCCGGACTTAGGTCTCATCTACTTGTATCTTTTTTTCATGTTTGTGTTAACTGGAAATCTCCAGGTTTTTTTTTTAGATATGGAAAGAACAATGTACTCTGAAAATCAAAAGGCCGTATGTGTGTAAGGGAACAACAAGTATTTCATAAATATTAGTTAATACAGCGTAACAAGCACATCAAAATCTTTTTACAGTATTCTAGCAGGGCCTCTGTAATACATAATTGTGTGGCCACATACAGCGATTCTGGTTAATAAGTACTAAAAGATATGAGTACAACTTCACACCAACCAGTTCAATTTCTCACCTGTTAAACTAGGATGCTTAACTGGTTAGAAACTTCCCCCTGTAACATGGAACTATGAAATTCCAGTCATTTACTAGTCACTAGCACTGTAACTAGTTTAATTGGCACTTGCTTTTTTTTTTTTTTTTTGCAAACTCTCTCATTCTGAATCTCTTCTATCGTAGGCTTTACTACTGACCTCTTAACACCTTAGTTCTACCACTTCAACAAATGTTGATAACAACAAAGAAGAGTGGATGGAACAGCTCAGAGTATGTATGTTAAGAGATTTAGGGGCCGGCCGAGTGGCGCATTGGTTAAGAGCTGGCTTGGGACGCCAGAGGGCCCCGGTTCGGATCCCACATATGAGGGCCAGTGACACTGCCCTCTTCAACTAAGATGCTGAACAACAGCTCAACCTGGAGCTGGGCTGCTGTAAGTCACCGGCAACGGCGTAGGCTGCAGAGGGTTGCCATGGGCTACCATGTGTAGCCAGCAGCCAGCGTGAGCGGCCATCCAGAAGCCGGTGACTGATGTGCCTCGCCCGGGAAGAGCGCAATGATGGTGCCAACTTGGGCCAGTGAAGCAACATCCTCCACACTAGACTGAAGAGTAAAAGGACAGCAACTTGTCTGTTCCCCTTCCCTTGATTCCCCAGCGTTGTTCCCGTCCCCCAATTCCCCAATAAAAATCTTAAAAAAAAAGAGATTTAGTAAGTTTAATCATAAAATTGATTGAGACTAAATTTATGAGATTAATCATAAAATACCCAGAGACTAGGATTTGAATATTTCTTTTCCTATGGAATCTTGGAAGAGCTGCAAGTTGGTAAAGTTGTTGAATTATGCTTAAATTGAAACTAATATGTAGTTACCAGCCACCATTAAAGAAAAAAACATCACCAACATGGTTTCTTCTTTTAAAAGCATAGTAGAAAGCTATCTTCTTCCAATAAGAAAATGAGTCATGAGGACGATTTGGCTAGCAAAGAGAACTTCACATTTGTCTCAATTCATATTACTTCAGGCAGATAATTTACCTAGCTTGTTACCACTTGCCACCAAACAAGAGTGTCGCTAATAAGAGTGATAGAATTTTTGAAGAGCTTAATGCAAGGGATATAATGTAAACTGGTCACTACCAAGACTGTGGAATCAACACTGTCATGTAGTAAACATTGCTACAAAGGTCCAACACACAGACTCTCAGAGCATACCATTGGCAGTTAGAGAACCACCTGATGAAAACAGTTGATGAGACCCAAGTTTCCACAAAAAGCAGTTAACTTTGCATGGATAAAAACTCTAAAACTACATACTCTAACAAATTCTTGTTAGCAGTAATTATGTGACAGGTCCTGTTCTTAGTGCTGGAGACAATATCATGAGCCAAAACAGATACAGGACCATAGATCAATCACAGTTTAGTCTACATTAATCAAATAAGACCATACCAAATGCTTTAAAATAAACAGTGATATACAGTCACATAAAAAAAGTTGTCCTAGACTGAATGAACAGTGAAGAAGTGACTCCTTTAATGGAGATTTGAAGGATGAGTTCAATAGGTAATGGGAGAAATGGGGGGAGGGCTTCAAAGGATGACATGATCAGATATGTGCTTTTAAAAGACTGCTCTGGGTGTAGCATAGGTAACAGATTAAGAGAAAGCCAGAATAGATATAAGCAGTAAGCCATGCAATAGACCAGGCAAAAGGTCATGACTAGGGTACAGGTGTGCTGAAAGGAAATGCATGGTTTTAAAGTACAATTAGGAAGTAAAACTGTCAGGACTCATGAGAAATTAAATAGAGGGGTAAGGAAGTAAGAGTTAAGGATGACTCAAATTTCTGGCTTGTGCAAGTAGATGGATATTGGCACCATTCATGAAGACAGGGAAAAAACGGATAGGACCAGGTCTGTTCATAATAGGAAGCTAGAGAAGTAAATCGGTGAGTAGTCAGACAGGAGTGAACAAAGTGGGTAGAGAAGGGGGCCTAGAATGAGTTTTGAGGACCTTAAGAGAATGAATTTGCAAATAAAACAAAACTTAAAAAATAGCCACATAAGCAGAAGGGTAACTGACTTAGAAGACATTACATCATAAACCTAGGGAAGAGAGTTTTGAAGAGCAACAATACAAGACAGCAGACAGTTGAATATTATCTTTAATGTGCTAAGAGAAAATATCAATCTAAATATCTATATCCAGAAATACCTTTTTAAGAAATAGCACAAAATATTTTCAGAAATGTAAAATTGATTAAACTGAAAATGCACTTACACTTAGTGATTCATCAAAGACTCTCATGAGTTTTCCAGTTAAAAACCTGAAAATTCTAACTTTTCGATCAGAAGCAATTGTAGCTATTTTCTTTCCATCAGGTGAAAAACATATGCTGGTTGGATAAGCCTTGCACTTGGCAAATTCATATAAATCTGTGTCAGTTTTATATTCCCAGTTCACATTTTTGGGGAATTTATATTCATGAGGAGGCCCAGTCCAGTATTCAATCATTCCAGATTTGTCAGAAGACACTATTGCTTTGTAAACTGGGTTTAGTCGTATCTGAGTAAGAGGTGATGTATGGAGTTTGTCAAAAACATGAAGTGGCTGGTTATCTCCTCGACCATCATAAATAAAAATTTTTCCTGTACTCTTCTCAGAAGCAGCAACTGAAGATATAGCATCCCCTGGGCAATAGACCCACTCACATTGTCCAGGAAAATAGCTGAAATAGTAAAGAATTGAGGAAAAAAAGAGGTCAACACAAGAAGTATGCATTCCTCTCCACTCACACCACCAAAAAATGTCCTGGCCAGTGATTTAGCTTGTTTTGGGTTCCTTGCTCAAAAGAAGCAGAGAGAGATACAGAATGGGGAGGAATAACAGTTATTAAGTTTTCTCTTTCTGACCTCACCAATGCAATGGTAATAACTTCTGAGGATCTATCAAACTACAAGAGAATTGCATAGCAAACCATTTACTTCTCTTTGGTAGATAATGAAATCTATTTAGACCTGGGCCTTAAAATACTCTGGGGCATTGCTTTTTGGATCTCTATGTCTCAATTTATGTATAACTTACTCTTAACTAGGTTAGCATGTAACAATATATGTTATAAATCCATTCTTGAAATGTTAAAGATCAAAATATTTTAGTTATAACCATGCTCAAAAGAAAAACATTCTTATAATCACACTCTCATTATTAGTAACTTGAGAGTGGGGCCCTATTCCCATATGCTTGTGGCCTTCTAAGGATAGGGATATATCATTTCCTCTCCCATCCTCAGCTTCCAGTGAGGACACAGTGTAAAACACAGTAGAGAATCCACACCAGAAACCAAACCCTGCTGGAACCTTGATCTTGGACTTTCCAGCCTCCAGAGCTGTGAGAAAATAAATTTCTGTTGTTTAAGCCACCCAGTCTATGGTCTTTTGTTATGACAGTCTGAGCAGACTAAGACAACTTCCAAAACTGTTTCTGATAATACTATAACTTTTAAGTTGACATTCACTTAGGTGTACATAATTTAGTATGTTATCTTTAAAAAGACAACTTAAAATAAAGTATTCGTCTCATTGTGCAGTTTAACCACAAAGTTAGGGTATCAATATACTTCAAGTTTAAAATCACCAACAAATAACCTCAATTCCAAAAATGTGCATAAGCTTTGTAAGACCGCAATACCATATTACTGAAATAAGCACAACAAAGAAGTTAATTCTAAGTACCAGTAAATTAGACATGATGGATTCTTCTTCTTAAGTAGTGTTAAATGTATATAATAAATTCTTGCTATGATGCTGTTTGTAGATTTCTGCAGTGATTAATGACAAAAACCACAGCAAAAGCCTCCAAAGAGCTTCAAAACAAGGATTCACCATATCTAATTTTCCCAAGCAAAATCCAAAGGTACATGTTTTAATGGCATGGTAATATAGTCTGTTTAGAAATACCTATGAAATTATGTTTAGTTTAAATATTATTTCACTAACTTAAAAAATATATAATTTATAAAGAACTCACCCAAGCTTCAGCATATTGATCATGTCAAAGTTCACAACATCAAACACCTTCATTGCTTTATCATCACCCACAGAACAGAACAATGCTCCCTCACAGCTAACTGCAATACTCTCAATAATTCCTATCGAAATAAATGAAATTAAAACATCAAATACCAATGAAATAAATGTATATGATTAAAAGAAAAAACACTTTAAAAGAAACTTTACCAGTACAGTTTTTAAAAGAGTGCACCTCCACCTCCCAAAAAAGAAACAAAAAATTAAAATTCTTACCTAGGTGACTCCGAAAATGTTTAACAAATTCAATTCCCTCTTCCACTTTTTTCCAGAACTTAACATGTCCATCATGACTGGCAGTAATAATAAAGTCTGTCCTGCATACATAAAATTGTAAAAGTTAATTTCTAAAACAAATCTAAGAATCACTCAATACCCCTAAAACAATCATTCACTGACAAAATCTTTGACTCTTTTATAATAGGTTTTCAAAAAAAAAAATCTTTCTTTACACAGGCCACTATAATAGGGTAGATAGAACACTGCAAATTTTGAAGCTCATTTCTAGATCATAATCATTGGTGCTGCACTAATTTTAATCTTAAGAGTTAGGATCCAAATTGAGCTAGGATGTGACATTAAAAAAAAAGAAATCTCACCAGGAAAAATGAGACCTTAGGGTCCTTTTATGCTAAAATTACTCTATAGGCAGTCCTTTCACAGGGAAAATGTTCTCTTTTTCAGAAGTTGATACATAATTAAATCTCAACATATTACTTTCATATATAGCAAAATAAACGTGTTTGTTTTGTAACCTAGCCAAGGTATTTTGTTTGTTTAAATTATCAAAAAGTTTTTGGACAGAATCACCTTGCCTGCAAGGTATATAAAAATAGAAACTATTTATTGAAACCTAGTAGGTGTCAGGTACTTTAAACACATTACCTTATTTAGTCTTTACAGCAACTCTATTAGGGTGGATATTTTTATCAGTATTTTACAAATTAGGTAATAGTTTTAAAATGTTAACTGTATTTGCTCTAGGTCCATAGCTGGAGAGTGGCATTCAATATCAGATCTGCCAAACTTCAAAACATATAATCTTTCTATTACACTCTGCTGCCTTGGGTTAAAAAGGGAAAAGAACAAAACAAAAATAACAACAATAACAAAACTTGACAGAGTGATAGCAATACTAATCCAATATGCTACTTTATACACTGACAACTTTGGACTAGGAAAAATGCTCATGTTTGGTCAGAATTATCCTATAAATGAATTATAGATATTTTATTTAATTAAATTTATACCTTAAATTGTCTCCAAGAAATCAAGAATAGATTGATCCAAGGAGCAAAGTAATTCATCTAATTCTTTCCATAATTACTGCCAATATCATCCAAGTCACCATTGTTATCTCATCGCAATTTCTATACTAATCTCCTAATTGCCCTGAATCCATTCTTGTCCTATTTAAATCCATTCATCTCACCAGAGTGGTCTTAAAAATAAAAAATCTGATGTTACTCTCCTCATTACAGGTTCAAAATCCACATAAGGAATATAAAACTCTCTGGGACTTGGTCCTTACTATTTTTTCTCCAGCCTCATCTAAACATATTTCCTTACTTATAAAATGCAGATTATATTACTACCTCATAAGCTCGTTCTTAAGATAAATAGTTTATGAAAAAGCTTTGGAGATAATATGAGCTTAACATACAGTAGAATATTACTATTATTATCCTTCTCCAAATCTCCAATCATCTATCTTGAAGGTGCTATGACATTTGCAGGATGTCTTAGTTCTCATCATTTTGCCCGTTAGTACTGAAGAGGCCAGCTACCAATTACTCCCATCTTAAGTAATATACTTTTTCCTAGGAAGCTCAGACGCTACCTGGTTCATCCCCTTTTGGCATTTATCTCCTAAAGACATACACAGAAACTAAAGAGTTCTTAGACAATGCATTCCTTGTATGACATAGGAAAGAACATGTAGGACTTTAACTTAAACTATTACAGAACCTGTGGAATTAAATAGAAATCCATAATATCCTAAAGTTACTTCTACAAGTCCACCTCAACATTGAAGCATTTAAAAAAAAAATTTCATGGACTCATGTCTTGTTAGGGAGACCACTTCATATTCGGTGTAGAGGCCTGACCACTGCACTGTATTTCTGAAGCTGATGGTGAATAATATTGTATGTCAACTATAATTATGTATACATATAGACACAGGACATGGAGTAGAGAGTGGGAATGGAGTCAATGGAATTGTAATAGATAAGCATGATATTGGGGGTGGGAGGGCAGTAGATGGGGGAGGGGGGTTGTTACTTTGTGAGGGTGAAAAGGGTAACTATTGCATTGTTCTGTACATCTGAAACTAACAATTAAAAAAAGAAAAATCTCAGAAAAAAATGAAAAAGATGTGATAGACTTACTTGGTGCATACCACATGGGTGATAACGTCTCTGTGCATGTAACTGCGCTCATACATGGATGCACTGGGGAGATTATCAAGGTAGACTCTTTCAAAATCTAGAACTGAGAAAAAAAAGTGAAGAAAAAAGTTTATTTTTAACAACTGGAACTAAATACTATTTTTTATTTTCTTTAAGTTTTCTAAATTCTAGTTTGTATTTTCATTAATTTCTGTCAATTCCACATATGATGAAAATAAAAATCCAGTGTCTCTTATGTCAGTTGTAACTTCTATTATTGTACAGTACTGAAAAGCACTATTATTTAGTTAAGTCAAGGCAAGTTTTAGGTGGTAATATAGGTGCTTAACTGTACCCAGAACTTAAGAACTGAGTTTGAAGTTTCCATTAAAAAACCCCAAAAACCTTAAAAAGCTTCATGAAAGTACAACAACCACCTTTCTAACCACGTAGATACAATTATTAATGCTAGTTTAAATAAGTAATAAGAGGCCAGTGGCCATCTATAAGATGTCTCAGTTTATTTTTAAGGCACTGCTCCTCTTTAAAGTCACTGATACTGGGACTTTTTAGAGCTAAGAAAATCCTAGAGAATATCCAATTGAGTGCTTCTCATTTTTCCAGGGGCAAAACATTTGTAAGAGTAGTAATCAATCTGAAGAAACAGTGATTTCATTATATGAGCTACAAACAATTTTACTAGTAAAAAATGACATTATATGTGTACCTAATAAAATAGTCCAATGATGGCCAAACATACCTATATAAAGTTGGTATATTACATATGATGAATTACTTCAATTTTTTATAACTATTGTTTAGCAGTCTGAAAGCTAGTCCAACAAACTTATTTTCCCTTCACTTTTACTAACAAAACACCCATTTTTATAATGGCATATTGAAATCCACCTATAAGACGACCTTTCTCACCTTTTTCTGCAGTTAGGTGTGACCATGTATCAGTAAGATAAAAGTGGAAGAGTTGTGTGATGGTAAAGAAGTGTTGAAAAGGTGTGCCTGTCTTCCCTTTCTCAATCCAGCCTGGACTGGGATACGCGCACTGTAACTCTAATAACCATTTAGGTAAAAAATGAGGGCCATATCCTAGTGGTGTTAGGGTTAAAAGCTGGAAACAGCCTAGATTCCTTTTGAGCCTCCACACCAATCCTAGACTGCCTACTTTGGAGCTTCTTTTACACATGAGAGAAGTATACCTCTATCTTTTTAATGTTACTGTCACTTGGGGTTTTTCTGTAATACGTATGCAGTTAAATTTAATCCTATTTGATACACATTTCCTTTTGCTGTTTGTTAGTTTATACTTGTTGAACAGGTATTTACTGAAAAAAAATTAGGTTTCAAGGCACATGGACATAAAGAAGAGTGACACATAGTTCCTGTCCTTGAGAATCCATGAGTTTAACTAAAGGTAGTGCCATATAATTATTTATAATGTCTTTCTGAAAATGTATACAAAAGTCCAATGTCCAAAGAACACATTGAAGAGAATGGTTCCATTCCTAGAAAGCTAAATATATTACTAAAATACTATTCTTTTAGATAAAATCTTCAATGATTTTAAAAAATATTTAATGTGTTTTAAAATTTCATTTTTTTTTCAAACTGAATACACTACTGACTCGCTTAAATACAATAAGCATCTAATTAAGGTTGAAGATTTTCATACCTAATGATTTCCATCTGTCTGAATTGTATTACGTTTATAAGATCTTTGTCTCATAACATTAATATCAGCACTTCGATATTTTTGTTTTCCCATCCCCCTGCTTATTTCCATAAAAGGATATGCAAAAATATTATAATTCAATAAAATAAATAAGATCATAAACACCGTAATATTCATTCAGTAAGTACTTATTATCTGCTATATGCAAAGCACTGTACCAAGCACTGGAGCAAAACTAGCTCTTCTATCCTTATACTCCTAGCATTGGAGAGAAACATTAATCAATCACATGAATAAATATACAATTTCAAAATATAGCAAGTGCAATGAGGAAAAAGTTGCTGTGGAAACATTTATCAGGAAAACCTGGCAGTAAAAAAGGTAATGCACTTTAAAAGTGTCAACGTTCAAGGTTCTAAAAAGCAGCTTCTTCAAAATTTGGACAAGTAAAATTTGAAAGCTACCTGTAAACTCAGCACCATAAACATTACCTAAGAGTTATCAGCAATGTGCTTTAGAAACCCAGCCCAGACTGGAGAAGACACAGGCTTCCCAGAGGTGATAGCTGAGCTGAGTGCTAACGGATGAACAAAAGTTAGCCAAGTGAAAGGGGACGAGGGTTATTATTCCAGGTAAAGAGAGACACCATGATAGCCCAACAGTCATCCAGAGGAGAAAATGATATGGCCGGAGTGCAGAGGAGAAGTGAAAGGGCTTAGGAGAGGAAGTATGGAAAATGCTGGTTAGATAAGAAATCATATCATGAAGGGCCTTGTATGCCATGTTAGGGAGGTTGGACTTTGTTTTGAAAATAATAAGAAATCACTGAAGAGTTAAGTATAGAGAGGGATAAAAGATCTGGGCTTTCACCAAGATCACATTCTCATGGTCTTATACATTTAAGGAAAACATTTCATTGAACAACTTGAAAAACAAGAAAATTTAATCTATCCCTTTACCCACTCCTTTTATTTGATAAAATTTTGTCACTATTCCACATTAGTGGCAAAATGTTTCATGCCACGGTATGCAACAAGTATGGATTAAGAACCACAGACCTTGGCTTTAGATGAAAAATGTGTGATCCAGGAAACAAGCTTACATAACTTTCCCTAGCTCAGAAAACTCATTAGTGGAAGAGTCAGGGTGGAAATCATCTTTACCTACACTTTACGATTCTAAATAGTAACCGTCGTTCCCACGCTTTCCAACACACTAACACTACTCCTCAGCTACTAAGCCTCACTAAGCCTCAGAGAGCCAGTACTTTTTTCCACAACTGCTACACGGAGTTAGAACCTCATACGAATGCTGTAAGAATTGAGACGTGCTAAGCACGTACTAAGTCTTGGCGTAAGTAAGCATTAGCATCTGTTATAACAAAGAAGTTCTTAATAGTGTTTGATATTATCAAAAAGACATTGTACTGCGCCCAAATCACTAGTTCAGGAGGACGTACAAGTACAGAGTGGCCAGAAGTGAGAAGACGACCCTCTGTTCTGAAGGCACAAACCCCCACAAACACACGATCCGTTTTCGAGTCTGGCTTGAACTCTCCCACTCGCGGCTAGCAACCTTCCAACTCGCCCTGTGTCTATCTCTGTAACTACCTTTTCTCTTCTTGGCCAATGTTGCCTCTACGGGTAAAGGCCCAACCCAGCGCTCTTCATTATCCTCTTCGTTCTCTTGGGCCACTGCTACTGCCACTGTCAGCTCTCTTTCTCTGTGTTCCGTTTTTTCCGGTTCCTCCGGGTCCCGGTGCCTTCTTCTTCTTTGCTGTGAATCACTACTATCTTCCGACGCCATGTTGTCCGAGTCGTCGGAAAAGGCGCGACACACACAGATCGGCAACCAATCACAAGGCAGCGGCGCAGCCTTACCGTAAGCGGCCGAGCGAGTTTCGGAATTGGCTGCGGTGGATCCAATCAGCTAGCAGCGCGCGCACGGGTCCTGGGCGCGGAAGGCTTGCCTGCGTTGGGCTGAGGAGACTTGCAGCCTGGGACTCCGTCGTGGTAAGACAAGGGCCGGGGAGTGCGCGGTAACGGTGTTTATTGTCACCGGAGCTGGCAGCTCCCAGGGTATGGAGCTGTAGCCCCGGTGGTGGGACCCTTACCTCTGGCGAACTGGATAGCCGACTTCCAGCTGGGCCTTGAGTCCCGCTCTTCTCCGGCTCTAGAACCTCTCAGGTTAGGAGAGAAAACAGAGGGGTGGGGAATTGGAGGAACTGGTTAACTGGGCCTTCCTGAAGTGCGCCAAGCTTGTCTTCTCTCCTGAGCGTCTTGGTTCTCTCACGCACCCTCTGAAGAAGGTGCTCAGCGCTTGTGACTGTTTTTGAGGGAGAGACCCAGCCTCACCCAGTAACCTAAGTTGCCCGCGCTGGTACCGTTCACCTTTCTGCCTTCACCCTGGTCTAGGCGTCCATCTCTTAGCGGCCTTCTGGATTTCAGCTCTCTTCTTAAAAACAAACAAAAATAAGTAAAAAAAAAAAGACATTTATTGTGGAAAACAAACAAACAAACAACCACCTAACATAAAATTTACCATCTTTATCTCTTCTCTCTGTTAAATACGGCTTGTCAACATGACCTCCCTAAAACGCTGCTTTCAGAAGCCTAAGTTAACAGCCTCCTGGTTGTCAATTTTACATCAGATGAATTTCTTTACTTTTGCTTTGAGGTGGAGAGATGCAGGGAAAGAACTGCCCATAGTAAGCACTTTTTAGAAGTATTTATTATTTATGTATTTATTTATTTATTTTTAAAGGCTTTCATTATTTGGCCCATCCTACCTAGCAGGTCTCATTTCTTCCCTGCCTTCTGCTCTAATCAGATCACTTTTTGTGTGTGCATGTGTGTGTGTCTCACACATTTGCCATCTCATCCTTGCCTTCCAGTCTTATGTTTTCATGCCTTGAAAGCATCTCCACAGCAAATCTAGCCTCCACCTTTACAGCTTCTCATATGTCAGACCCCATGGCAAAAGTAATGAGGGTAAGGATGATAAATGGTAGGGACATAGTAGTGTGTACTGAGCACTGCAGCCAGCCTTTTATTCTTCGAGGTCGATTTCTCTGCTCTCCACCCGAATTCTGAAAGCATTTGTGGTCTGCATGGATTAATTTACCACACCATAGCACTTCTAACCACACTACCTGAAATCATATCAGGTATTTAGTTGTGCATTTGTTTATATTGTCTCTCAGTGAAAATGTAAGCTCCGTGAAGACAGAGACTTTCACCTACACAGCTATAGCCACAGTGTCTGACAAATGGCACACATTAAGAACATATTTGTTGGATAAATGAATACAGCTTAGAATTATAGGGGTACTTTCTATTACTTTATTTTTATTTTTTTTTATTTATTTTTAGCTGAGCCATCCTGCCACCTCTTGGCAGCTTAGCGGCAGCTCAGCTCGGGCTGGGACTTGAACCGCCATTGCTCAGAGCTCACACTCTTGAGCGAGCTCTTAACCAACTGAGCCACTCGGCCGGCCCTTCTATTACTTTATTTCTTGTATGTTAGTCTTTTTCCAATAATAGTATTAATTTCTTTAATTTGGTTTTAGATCTTTTAAGTTTGTATGGGATACTATTCCCAAATATAGCAATATTGTTCTTCAGTAAATAATTGGGAATTGGAGTACTGAGGACCTTGACATGTTGACTTGTTCTATTTCCAGAAAGGTAGATTTAAGGATACAAAAATGTGCTAGTGGGATAAAGTTAACTTCTTAAATGTTTATATTTATTTGTAGTCTAAGGCTACACTGAGCTGCCAATCCAGCTAATTTGTATCTATCCACATACTCATGCACACACAGTTTCACATTACTTTTGCATACTGATAATGTATTTTATTGGTTAGTAGTCTACAAAGTGGGGAAGATCAATTTGCACTTAATTTCTAAATTAAGGTATACTATTTAAAACATTTACATAATATTTGACTTTTCGCTTAAAAATATTCTAAAATTGTTAATGGCTTTGTGAACTTAACTATATCTTTTGTGTATAGCAAGGAAGATGTTTATTGTCAACATTTTTGGACATAGTGTAAGTTATTTAACCAGTCTTCTAGTTGACATTCACATTGTTAATAGTAATGTTGATAGCTAAAACTAATAAAGCTCTTTATATGCTAGGCACAGTTCTAAGAACTTTACATTTTTAACTCATTTAACCCTATGGGTTAAATAGTATTACTATCTTCATTTTACAGATAAGGAAAGGGCACAGACCATTTAAGTGATTTGCCTAAGGTCACTTGGCTTCTAAGCATCTCATCCAGGTTTTGAACCTAGATAGTCTGATTGCAGAATTTACACTTATAAAGTTTTTTTATAGATAATGCTGCAGTAAGTATACTTGTGTAGACTTATGCAAATATATCTACTGTAGGATTATTCCTAGGAGTAGAATTTCCTAGGTCAAAATATAAATGCATTTAAAATTTTGTTGGATATTTCTTATTATACTACAAAGCGATTGGTCTACCAACAGTGCATGGCTCTTATTCTACACTTTGTCAATATTGTTTTTTTACCAAATTTTTCAGTATTGCTACTCTGAATGAAAAATAACTTTTGTTTAATTTGCATTTTTATAAGTTGTGAGTAAGATTAAGAATGCTGTTTTTTTATATTCAAAAGGTATTTCTCAGTTTTTCTTTTTTCTTTGAATTCCCCATTTGTGTGCTCCACCCATTTCTATTGTATTATTCTGTTGTTTACCTTTTTTATTATAAAGTAAAATACCGTTTTTTTAAAAAAAACCCATGCAAAATAAATGTAAAGTTTATAAATTACTATAACATGAATACTTTTCTTTCATGACCATACAGGTCATGAAATAAAATTTTGATACCTCAGAAGTCTTTCCATTTGGCCCATCCCAATCACAGCCCTCCTTAACTTTCTACCTCCTTCTCTCCCTCCCTCCTTCCCAAGTAGTGATATCTTGACTTTTATAGCGATCACTTTTTGTTTTAAAGATTTTTATTGGGGAATTGGGGAAGGAGAACAGTATTGGGGAATTGGGAAAGGGGAACAGCCAAGTGTTGTCCTTCAGTCTTAGTAGTGGAGGGCGCAGCTAGCTCATCTCCAAGCCCAGTTACCATCTGGCCGCCTGTCAGCAGCTTGCAGCCGCTCAGCTCAAGGTGCTGTGTTCAGTCTTAGTTGCGGATGGGCATCCCATGTGGGAGTTGAACCGGCAACCTTGTTGTTAGGAGCACATGCTCTCACCAGCTGAGCCATCCCGCCACCTGTTGGCAGCTCAGCAGCAGCTCAGTGCTGGAGCAGCTCACTGGCCCATGTGGGAATTGAACCTGCGACCTGTTGCTCAGAGGTCACGCTCTTAACCAACTGAGCCACTCGGCCAGCCCTAGTGATCACTTTTTAATGATAGTTTTTATTTTTTTCTTGTTAATTTGTAGGCACTCATACATTAAGGAAATTAGGTCTTGATGCCATATGTTTTATAAATATTTTTCCTTAGGTTTTTGGGTATTAAATTTTGACTTTGTAATGACATCTATGTTCATGTGGAATTTTTAAAATTCTCATATAGAGATTTTGCTTAGTTTTGTTTAAAAAGCCTTTCCTAATCCAAGAATAAAAAAAAATTGCCATGTTTTTTCCTTAGTCTTTTTCATAATTTCTGTTTGGATTTTTTGAGGGATGGAGGAGTGGTGTAAAGATTGAGGTATATATCTAGGCTTATTCCCCTCCCCAAGTACTATGCTGCGTGTTGAAAAGAATGTAGGGGGTTCATCGTCTATATGGGCCAACATACATGAAAAAAATAAAAAGCAGTATAGTACATAAAATATGCTTTCTATTTGGATTATTTTTTCCTCTTAATTTGTATTGCCACCTCTGTCATATATCATAGGTCCATAAATGTGTCAGTCTAGAAGAGATTTCTATTGTGTTCCAATGTTTAATTGCCTATTTATATGTTAATTCCATGCTATCATAATCAGTATAATTTTATAATAAGCTTATCACCGGACAAAGCAAGTCTTTCCATCTTATTCTTCATGAGAATCTTGGTTGTTTTGGGCTCTTTGCACATCCATATAAAGTTTAGAATTAGCTTGACAAGTGCCACAAAAACAAACGAAATCTTTTAGAATTTTGATAAAGATTCAATAGATTAACTTGGGGGAAATTAAAAGCTTTACAGTGTTGAGTCCTCCAATCTATAAACATCATATATGAAGTCTGACAATTAAGCTTGTGAACTAATCCTAGAAAAGTGCTACTTACCTCATTGCTAAATATCACTACAGTCACCTTTGAAGTACTCCCCTTGGGAAGCTATGCACCGACATCAACGTCTAGTCCACCCTTCAAAGCAATTTTGGAACTCTTTTTCTGGAATGGCTGGCTATCAGAGGTGTCGTCTTATTACGCTTGATGTCATGAATGTCATCAAAATGTCTTCCTTTCAATATTTCCTTTATCTTTGGGTAGAGAAAAAAGTCATTGGGGGCAGATCAGGTGAATCTAGAGCAGCGGTTCTCAACTTTCCTAATGCTGCGACCCCTTAATACAGTTCCTCATGTTGTGGTGACCCCCAACCATAAAATGATTTTCGTTGCTACTCTATAACTGTAATTTTGCTACGGTTATGAATCGTAATGTAAATATCTTTTTGTTTTCCAATGGTCTTAGGCGACCCCTGTGAAAGGGTCGTTTGACCCCAAAGGGGTTGTGACTCACAGGTTGAGAACCGCTGGTGTAGAGGGTGTTCCAATACAGTTATTTGTTTTCTGGTTAAATCTCCCTCACAGACAGTGCTGTGTGAGCTGGTACATTGTCG